ATGGGGAATGTCATGTGAACTTTGGGGGCATCGTCACCTGCAGTCCCGACTCTAAAGATGGAAGCTAATGGGTGTCTCTTCAACTCTCTTCCACTATATCTCCGTATATCCCACTGGGAGATCCTGGTACAGGTGGGATGATTTGGTGAATTGTGAACTGAGCCAGAAGACGCATGGAAGCACTGATGCCTCTATACGGGATTTAAAGCCCATCATTGCCAACTGTGAACGAGATCCAAAGTTAGAGAAAGCTTTTTGCTACTTAATGCGAGTGGAAACAGAAACTGTCCTGCCTATTGAATTATTCAGTTTATTCTGATGGAGTAGAAAGTGACCAAGCTTTGTGTGATGCCCCCAAACCATACAGATATTTGACATTAGTGAAGGCTGATCTCTTTGAGCCTTGTCTCGACCTGGGCAAACACAGAAGCAAGGATGAGATTCTGGATGTCTAGTGCCTCATTGCTTATTGCTCGAGCACTTTTCACTATACAATTGTATGAGGTCTGCCAACTTTTTTCACCAGATTCTGCTCCTGTTCCCTGAGGCTACATGTGTCCTTTGGCTGAATTTCAAAAGCCATTGGCAAGTGGGTCTTCCGGGCTTCTAGTAGAGATACTTAATCTTTCCTTTCAGGGTGTTGCTTGGGAGAAAAGAAATAGAGAGAGAATTTAAAAAAAAAAATGAGAGAGAAAAAGAAATGGGGTTCCTGGTGGTTTTTGCCTCTGGACAGCCCTGACCAATTTACCAAGGACATTTGCAGGGGGGGATCAAGGTAGTGGCTGTGACCATGCGATTGAAGCCCCTCCCCTTTTTTACATCTGTGCATTAAAAGAGGCAGGGCATTTATTGCCTGGCCGCAGCTTTCCTCTTGACTTTTGGGCTCCCCTGTGGATACCCCTGAGTATAACCCTAAAGGGCCAGCTGCAATCTGCAACTAGGCTCTCATGCTGTCAGAAGCTTCTCCTACTGATTTTGCAGATCAACCTTCTAGTAAAGGGAAAGGCCAATGAAACTTTTGCAAGAAAACGGCCAAGCTCGGAGAACACCAAGGACCCAATAGCTCAACCCTGAGCCATATACGGTATATTCTTGATTATTGAAAAGGACAGGGACAAGGACAGAGACAGACTTGAAGAGTTGATCACCCTAAGTGGTAGGAGGAATTCACTGTTAGCATTTGAATAGACTGAGATCTCCATGGAGGTCATTTTAACTACCTTCTTTTTGTTACATTACAATTAAAAAGAACATTAAATGCTTAGATCTTTCATTGGTAACATTTTCATTTAGCAGCTGAATTGTTCATGGATTAAAATGGGGTTAGTTTGGGGGCAGAATTGCATGAAACAGTAAGTACAATGTTCTCTTTTTTTATAAGTGCTCCTGTTTGAAAAGGTCAGTAGTGTGACTAAGGGAGATGTTAGGAAGGTGCAATAGGATCCAATAGATTTAATGTGATTTGAAAAAGCAGGTCCAGGAACAGAACCAAAAGCATATACTTCCACTGATTTTTTAAAAATTATCTTTTAAGTGAGGCTGCTTCTGAAATCCTCCACACCTGAATTTCTTTCTGCATTTGTAACCTTTTGAATGACCTGGCCTTTGGTCATGATACAACAAGGCCTGGAGAGGTAAGCGCTTGGCACTAAAGCCAACTTTGCCTGATGCGTGAAACAGGTGGGCATTTCTGAAGTGGGTGGGACATGGTTCTCCACTGCATGTTCTCCACAGCACAAATGGCCCAGTTTGCCATGTGGGAATCACCATCAAAGGTACCCGAACTGCAGTGGTTGCATCTGTTCTATCACTTCTCTTACAGAGGCATTAGTTTATTCTACAGTAGACATGGGCAGACTTTTCAAATGCCAAATGTTATTTAAAAAAAATATATATTGGAATTGTACAAGGCTGCAAGGTCTTAAAAGATTTCAACCATCTCAACCTCAACGTTTTATGTGTTCTTGGGTAAGAATGCCAAAACCTTGCATCTTCTCAGCTGAAAACTTGGAAGATTTCATTGGAGAACACTGACATCTTGTGGGATTTGACACGCTTCTAGGATGTTGGCTGTTTTAATAAAATTAAATATATTTGTATTTAATTTTAAGTTTCCATGTATGCATAAACACTTGTACCAAACCTCAAGTCCAGATGGGGAGTCAGGTGTAAATAGAGGAGGCACATTTCTGTTAGGAGCGAGGGAGCATCTGTAGTGTCCTGGGGCCAATTGTCACCAACCCTCCCTTTCCT